GTAACGGAACAATGAGCATGCATTATTGACAATAGAAGACGGTGTTTTCCGTGGGGTCCGTGCCAAGGAGTTATCTTGAAAACAATCAACGTTACGAGTAGTTGAATTGAGGGTTTAGCTGTGGAGTGTTAACCAAAGGACAACGGAAGGTGAAGAATCTCCATCGCTAAGATACGTTACTGGAAAATATCTAATGAAAACACTGCAGAGGAATAGCCATTGTGGAGAGCAGTTACAACATAAAGACTGGTGAAATTAGATTGAGAAGACTTATAATTTGTGTGGATATCAGCATTTGTGCAATATTTATTTGTAGTTACGACATTTTTTAAGTGGTCAATAAATTAATTCCCCAAACCAGACTAATTCTATAGTCACTAATACATGTGACAGTATATATTGTCATGTGTTTGAGTGTGGTTATAGATGGGGTTTGGATTGGTAATTGGATTTATTGACTACCTATAGGTCATATATTTTCTTATTGCTAGTGGAGTGGGACTAGGTCTCTTGTAGTGCGACCATTTCTGGCCTATTGTACCAGCCCCAGATGATAGGTGAGGGTGAGTGTGGAGCAGTTGGTGGAATGAAGATTGGCAGGGGAAACCGAAGTACCCAGAGAAAACCTGCCCCAGAGCCACTTTGTTCAACACAAATCCCACTTGACCAGACCCGGGATGGAACCCGGGCCACCGCGGTGGAAAGCCAGGGACTAACCGCTTCAGTTATGGCGCGGCCTCACCTGTAGGTCATAACTACATGTAACTTTAACACTTTCACTGAATTACATGCTCCAAACTTCACTGTAACCACAGCTCACATAAAAGTCTTCTGTATTTACTAGACGTTTCTTGGTAACAGGTTTTAACACAGTCCGTTTACGTCCTTACCCTATGACACACTCTACAATTGCACTAAACTGAAAATCAAAGTCAAAGTTGGTTTACCACCGACGGTCAATTGGCTAGTCTGTCTCCGTGCCAAGCACGCCTTTGGAACTTAGAACCAGATTTTTGTTTTCTTTCAGACATTTGTGGGTTTGTACATATTATGACATGAATGTATGTACAACATACACATATACAAGGCCCCCCTCAGTCCATGTTCAGTACAGAAGATCGTCTGTCAGTAGTAGCTTCCACTTACGGACGACGAGACTGCCTGAAAGTGGTCCCATATGTGGACGGAGACACGTAGCAAATATGAAATCAAAGCAATGTGACCACTTCGAGTGGTTTTCTTATTTATATAGTTGTGTTGACAGTCAAATCACCTACTTATTCAGACAAAACCGTGTAAGCTCAGATATAGCTTCATGCTCAAAATTAAGAGAGAAATTATCCTAATGAATATTCACCCGACTCCATTTCATACATTTCCTGGTATACCTGTTCATATCTATGGGTCCGAGGGTGCCAAATCAGTATGACCCAGTGAGCCAGCACACTTCAATCTGCCTATGTACAGGAAGCACTTCTAGTAACATTCTAATTCCAGAATAAGACTGGGAATTCTCTAGAAGAGTACTCTCTTATGTAGTACCAACGCAAAGAAAACAACGGCTTACTCTCTGGCTTATTATCATCCTTAAAGGAGGTAATAATGACATGCAAATTAGGGAAATTCTGTTTGTCTATGGTTTTACAGCCCTTGTCGACCTTGGCGGCTTTTTCACTTTGTTAATCTGTACACAGTCGATAGGACTCCTTAGACGGGGAATCAGCACATCGAAAGGCCGCTACCTACGCACAGAACAACACAAAGGCAGAATAAACGCACACAGACATCCATGCCTCGAGTGGGATTCGAACCCACGATCCCAGTGTTCGAGCGAATGAAGGCGGTTCATGTCTCAGACAGAGCGGCCACTGTGATCGCCAGCGAAAGTTTATCTTACAAATTTGAGCAAGATCTTTTGAAGTGTTCGTGAGATACAAGGATAGTTTCATTAATGGTCCTATGAAAATTTGGCTCTATTATGGATGCTTATGACTGGTAATTTGGAATTACCCGACGGCTCTTGGTGAAAGCTTCTGTATAGGATTTCTGCAAAATCTGTGGAATGGTTTACGGGATACATGGGAAAACCCATTTATAGCTTTATATAAATTAAGTTTCTTATGGGTCAGCAAGTCGGATGATAGATACGTGGTATTACGTGACAATTCATGGTGACCATCGTCTATATCAAATTTCAATGACTAGGTTTTTGGGTAGCATGGAAGTGCCAATTTGTTACCTTTTGTGAACGAGGCTTTATTACGGGTCTGTATGACCGAGACTCCACGTTACCCGACACTTTTTCATGTAGGCCAAGTCTCCTATGTCGAAATTCAGCAAAACCTCTGAAAAGTTTATAAGATATGTGGAATTCTCCATTTACGTCCTATTATAACCCAGGCTTTATAATGAAACATCGTAAATCGAATTGCTCGTCAAATTTTACTGGAATTCTCCCATTTCGAATTTGGAGAAAATCTATATTACTACTCAGTTGCAGATACAAGCCGAGCCAGACAAGGCGTTTTTCTTCTATTCTGAAAACAACTCCTAAATTCCTATGACTTCGCGTTTTAATTTTCTACCGTCTGGGTTCAACGTCGGTTACTATTCACTCGTTATAAAATCTTGTCGTTTCTCTAAAAATAATTAAAATACAACAATGAATAACTTTTAGATTGAAGTCATTTTGACGAAATAATAGGGCGCAAACGATTGTATGAAATTAGTCCTATGCTAAAGTGAGTTAGCACGTAGTGAGGTAGTTCTCTCTGGTGTTGCTGCTTACTCAGTAGGTCGCTTCAACGTGCAAGAGCGAGGTGATATTGGTTCCAAACGATTAATGCACGCACTCAGTTGCGTCACTGGAGAGCAGACTCTCTTGTAACAAACAATTTAAATCAAGCAGTTATAGGCCGTAACATCGTTGCTAATCCAAAACAACCTTAATCACAGCTCCGCTTAACTGGGGGGGGGGGCGAATAATTCTCTCTCATCATCCCCCCTTCAGTCTACACCTCCCTTCCATCGTTCTCCTTACTCTGCTGTCGCCCCTTTCTACAACTACGCCTGGAATATCCGTTCGACAGCATTGGGCAAAGGGTGACAGCATGTAGACTAGGACAGTAGGGTGGGGGAATTGGCTTTCCCCTTCAACTATTTCCCGCAAGAACTACGAGAATTCATTGGACCACTTAACTACAATTAAGAAACGTCTAGAGAGAGTCCGCAATTGAGTCTGAACATTGCATTAATAAAACATCGAATGCTGTTCTGATTCTTCTCCGTCCTTGTGCAACTCAATCAAAATCCGTTAGGTTTCCATGCTACTTCTTTCTGCTTTATTTCACAAGATGTTTCGGCCTAACTGGCCATCATCAGGTGTACAAGGTGTGTTTAAGGTGTCTGCTCTGCTTTCCTTTTGAAGTATTAGGCCCTTCTAAATGTTACATTAGGGTTATATTATGCCATGTCTTTGTGACTGACAAGGGTTTGGTTTATGTTTGTTGAATATGTTAAACACTCAGAATCAGATAGACTTGAAATGATTCTGACGATGGTGTACGAGTATACTGTACTTCTTTTGGCTTATTTTGAACTTCGCCCATCGTCTGATATGTAAAAGACAAAAGACCACGACGTTTCGGATACTGGATCTGTCTCCGTCTTCAGGTGGGTAGGGAAGGATAAACCTACTCAGTTGGGCCCGTTAGAAAGAGCTAGGTCCAGTGATTGAGACTAGCCCTTTCTAACGGGCCCAACTGAGTAGGTTTATCCTTCCCTACCCACCTGAAAACGGAGACAGATCCAGTCTCCGAAACGTCGTGGTCTTTTGTCTTTTACATACCAGATGATGGACGAAGTCCAAAATAAGCCAAAAGAAGTACTCAGAATCAGGCAGCTTAGATACAGCAGCAGAGAAAATGAACACAGCGTATTCAAAGTATCTGGAATCAGTTGGAGTTTGAAACTGCGCGTGTTCTTTTCGCTGTAGTTTCAACTGTACGTGAAAAGCGCTTATAGAATTCTATAGACTAATACACTGGCGGATTGATAAGAATGGAGCAGAAATTAAAATTTCTCACGTATTACACCTTTGCACTCAATGTTTCCTATTCATGTTATTTTTCAGCACAAAATGGAACTTTTTAGACTTCCAGATATAAACACGTTTGTTGCTTACTGCACAGCACATAAAAAGAACTTTTATTTTCATTACATAGCATATTTGTAATGTTGTAATGAGAGGAGTGTTTATTAAGGTGAGGGGAGATTGAATTCCGGTAATGTTTACTACCATTCGCTTTGTGTCTTCTCGTATACTTTCCAAAAACACAAAAAAAAAAAAAATAGAATATTCAAATTTATAATTTTGCTTGTGGTTCTATATGGACGTGGAACTTGGTCTCTGTCTTTATGGGAGGAACATAGACTGAGGGTGTTTGAGAATAGAGTGTTGAGGAGAATATTTGGAGCGAAGAGAGACGAAATGACAGGAGGTTGGAGAAAACTGCATAATGAGGAGCTCTATAACTTGTACTCTTCTCCAAGTATAATTAGAATGATCAAGTTAAGGAGGATGAAATCGATAGGGCAGGTAGATCGAATGGAGGCGGAAAGGAATACATATGTGATATTGGTTGGAAAGCCAAAAGGAAATATGTCACTAGGAAGACCAAGAAATATGTGAGTAGATAATATTAAAATGGATCTTAGAGAAATACGATGGGTTGATATGGACTGGATCGTTCTGGATGAGGATAGGGACCAGTGGAGGGCTCTTGTGAACACGGTAATGAACCTTCTCTTCCCATAAAATGTTGGAAAATTCTTGAGTGGCTACACAAATATCAGCTTCTCAAGGACTGAGATCCATGGAGTGAGTTAGTGTATTATCATTATGATATAAATGTGTTAATGTTTTGTGTGATGTGTTTTTGTGTCTGTGTTTCTGTGTATTCCTGCTAATTCGTTTGTGTTTTCGTTCTGTCTCATTCCAGTGTTGTCTTCCTCACCCACGCACACTCACGCTCACGCATCGCATCGCTTGCACGGCCGCACGCAACATTTTGTCTTCCACGCATAGTGTGTGCAGCTTTACGAGCCAAGAGTGCCATCTACCAGCGCCTCAGAATGATAAGGCGTTAGTCACGTACTTAAATTAGCAAAGTTAGATGGAACTGCATGTAGATTATTTATATATTTTGAAGTTCATATATATTCTATTGAGACGCATTCTATAGGTTACACGGAACGTATTCATTTATTTAAATTCTATTCTCTTTAGATCGTTTTACGCAAGTAACAATTCTAATACTCTGTAATTGGAATAGCTTGGAAGCATGTAGCGGTGAATTTGATTTGCATTGATCGGGTACAATATTAATTGTCATTTGTAATTCAGGTTACAACACGAAAAAGAAAGGTAGGAAATATCCACGTTTATATTTTACGAGTTTTGGATCTATCTTGAATTCTCTATTCTTTACACAAATAACGTCTATTATTTACGGGACTCAACAAAATCAACTCCTTTACTCGTCTGTGAAGAGGAAGAAATCAGGGCAGACGAATGAAAAGTTTTTTGAATATATTCGTTAATATTCTCTCTCGCCTTTTTTATTATTATTATTTCTGCACCGACGCGAACAATAACTTTGTGGATATGAGGGCCTTTGTTCACACGACACTGACACATTTCAGTGCCGAGGTAAAGGGGAAATTTGGAGAAAATGCAATTACAGTGGGGGTGGGTGGGCGAGATTCATGTTATAGAGAAATGTCTGGAGAGTAGAACAGAACTGGATATTCAGAATAAGACTAAAAGGAAATGGGTATACAAGTTATACGACGAATTGACGTAGTCAGTGTTACTTCTGTGTTACTGAGAAATAATAGTCTTTCTGTTCTTGTGGAACATGTTAAGAAGTTCTTTACTTAATAAAAATATACATCGGAAACATGAGAGTATTAGTAGTTCTTGTATAAAATATCACTGAAATTACTTGCTAAACATTCTCGTTCATACATATTCTCCAGTAGTTATTATTTATGGCACTAGTACAGGTTACACAGTGAAACATTAAGAAAATGAGAGAGATGTTTATAGCAGAACACAATTTTGATAGTGTCGTTACAAATGTGAAGCCATATGAATTAAGTCTGTTCAGGAACACAGCATGCTACTAGTACCAAGCGAGAGGAAACTCCTGTATAATGTGACATGTATGGAATCTACAAAACTCTCTGCAGCGTGTCAAAATTGATTCAAGGGCGGGGAAACTGGAGAGAAAGTCTGATCTTCGGAAATCTTAGGATCGTTCGTTCTGAGTTGTTCTTCGAGTGATTGATGGGCGTTCTGTAAAATCTTTCCAGACTGTCTGTACCCACCTTTACTGACACCGTCTCTCAAATTTCCTTTACTGTAAATGATTTTCGTGTCTAAAGAGAAGCACAAGGAGTCGACTGAGTTTGAAGACTGGCCTCTGGCAGGAGGAGAGTCTGTAATATTAGATTTTTGTCGAAGTGGTCCCAGAAGCAGGATCAAGTTGGGAAGTTGCGAGCGGTTGTTATGCAGTTTATTTTATCGAAATTTGAAAACGACCGTAATAATAGGTTAAGTCCCACCTGCACTTAAGTAAGCAATGCGCATTGAAGTTGTAACTTCGGCGCTAGATTGAGGAGAATGGTCAGCTTCACACTTATGCCGCTTTATATCTAACAAAATAGCTCCTGGTTCTCAATGGAAAGGAATCTTGATTGAGTCTGACTTTTGTAAATAAATAAATACGTAAATGTCAGAAATATTTTTTTTTTGACAAATTGTTTTACTAATGTTGTTCTTTCTCCGTCTCTTTGCATAAAGCAGTAACACGACATCATATTCGTGTCAGTTGCAACGAGTACGAGAGAATGCCGGCGGAGGCGCCAGTCGACTACAATCCCACTGACCGTAAGCACGCGCATTTTCTCGTGCGCATTGCACATTACTCCATAGTTCATAAAGTCGTGCATTGACACATCCAGAATTTGTATAATCGTTGTATATTCTAATATAAAGCATCTCGATATTATACGGGATGTTGGCTCGGAATTCAGAGTGTTGCTTAGTCTTTTAGAGGCAGGTTTTTAATTAAATAGAATATGCATGTGGTAACGCCAGTACACCTTACGTCATAGCTTGAAATGATCATGCGTACTTCAGAGTCAGTGCAGCAATAGACAGATGTTGGTGAGGTTTTATTCAAGGAAACTAAGTCACTTTCCTGCAGACATGATTAATTATAATCATAAAAATATGTTTATAAATCGATCACCTGGTGGAATCACCCGAGTTTTTGGAAACTAAAATGCTATTTATCTTGCCCCTAGTTTCTATTCTGATATGTCACGTTTACAAACCTCGCATCATAATATTTCAAATCTACTTTAATATTAACGCCCCATCTATGTGTATATCTGTATTTTCAGATGGCTTATATTATTCAATATTTCTGACAAAGTAATGTACAGAATTTTTATTAGATATTTTAGATATTTTATTAGATATGGGATGGAAGCTCTTTATCGTGTGCTTTCCTCCGAAGTCCTGCTACTTACTTGCCTTAAAACTAAATGCTCTTCTTCGTGTCCTGCTTTCAAACGCCATCAGCTTGTGCTCCAGCCTCAAATCCTAGGGTAAGAATGGGTTGAATGAAATNACTATGAAGAAAGCAGTCTTCTGGGATGTGGCACCGTGTAGATGTGGTGTTAACCGACGTTTCGGAGGAACGTATAGCCTCCGTATTCAGGGTAGAAGGAAAAATAAGAAATCCACAAGCGAAGATACGTGCTTGTACCGGTTCTCACGGTCTCTTCGCTTGCGGATTTCTTATTTTTACTTCTACCCTGAAGATGGAGGCGGTACGCCCCTCCGAAACGTCGGTTAACACCATATCTACACGGTTCCACATCCCAGAAGACTGCTTTCTTCATAGTCACCCCCGTGAAAACCTCAAATCTTACACAATGAAATTATTCTTATGTAGGCCCATTGTCCTGTTCATAGTTTCCCTTATACGGGGCATGAAAGAGTTTTATGACAGGAAAAAGTTAGATCTGAGTACTTTGATTGATTTGCACGTCTTTAGCTTCCCAGAACAAAAAAATAGTTTTTGGAATATCGCCTACATGCCTGTACGTATATTTGTGCCCCTCGCTAGCACGTGGACATTATATTTCTTAGTCGTAACAGGTATTTAAGGGTTTGTCTGTCCTGGGTCGGTGTCTGGTGTACATTGATATTCGAGCTCCAAACAGGAATCCTTCAAATAAGCCACATAAAATAAATGCGACTTTCTGGAAAACGGCTCTAACAGTATTGATTAAATTCCAGTAATTTATGAAATGAATCATATGGGTGTCATCTTCTGGAAAATAACAGTACTCCATCTGGAGGCTCAGAAACACGAGGAAGCATGTGAATAGTCTTAGCGCCGATTTTTACTTTCAGGATATTAGGTTGAGGAAGAGAAAGCAAAGCTCCCTGATATGAATATTAACTAAATTTGCTCCTGTTAAGTGTGTTATTACCTTCATTGCTAATGTAATCCTAATTTACTATTCTCGTTTTGAACTACGTGAAATTTGTCACTTTTTCGGCGGATTTGTTAATCACATTTATAAAAAAGATATTATACTGTAGTAATCTGAAGACGAGTATATAAAATTTTTTATTCTTCTGATGAAGTGAGACTGAGTCCACTGGGCACTGCGGTCACTGTTTGGCCTATTGTACCATCCCCAGATGATATAAGATGAGTGTGGAGCGAAGTGACGAGGGAAACCGAAGTACTGGTAGAAAACCTGCCCCAGTGCTACTTTGTCCAACACAAATCCCATATGAACTGACCCGGGCTCGAACCCGAGGCGCCGCGGTGGGAAGCCTATGACTAACCTCCTGAGCTATAGCACGGCCTATGTACTTCTATATACTTAGTGCCTGTGCTCTGTCATGTACACCGTTCTTCTTAATGTCTGATACGGGTTTCTGGTCTCTCAGTTGAAATTTTATGCTCAATTTCCATTACTTATATCTTGCCAAAAAGCAGTCAAGTCAGAGGTCTTTCTGTAAACAGCAATTGCTGTTTGCTTCCGCTCTACACCGAAGCTGGAGACTGTCTCTCCGTCAACTCAGAACGTGAAGCTTACTGTTGCATCAGGACAATAATCAGATAACAACTGTCAGTTTCTGTCCGGCTGACTTGTGCTCCTGACAGGTGTAGGTGGGATGGGGCACGCTGTAAAACCAGTCGATCTGTGAGACATATACGTACGTACGTTAGCTTTCTCGTGTAGGCTACGTAGACTGAGAGACTGCTGTGGTGGCGAGAATATTGATCTGAAGTTCTTGGCGGATATTCATGCCTTTAGCTCCACTGAATAGAAATTCCCTTTCGGTATGTCCTTATCTCAGCATTAGAACAGTTGTGCAGATTTTTTTCCTGTTCGGTTTCCAAGAGCGTAAAAAGTAACTTTATCCCTGTGCTTAACAAATTAAGCAATACGCCATGAAGACGTATGGGGGAGTGGATGTATAGATCCAAGTATTCTTGACCTCGGCACTAGATGGAGGTGAATGGTCAGCTTCACGTCCCTGCCGCTTTTCCCTCAGGGCAAAAGTCCACGGTGTCCATTGGACAGGAGGCTGTTTGGCCCCAAAGCCAGTCTAGACATCGCGGAGAAGAGAAAAAGCTTGTCCCTGTCGGGACTCGAACACCAACCCATCGGCCGCCCAGCCCGTAACCAGTCGGTATACCGACTGTGCTATCCTGGCTCACTTCCAGGAGCGTATCATAGGTAAATATTCGGTGAATGTGGATACTCTGGCTTCAAAAATGGGAGCCAAGAACGTGGGAGATTTTTCTGAATACGGTTTAAACGTTTCAATTCTATTTCGATAGTTGATTGAGACTGAATCTCTAAAGGAAACTGCACAGGTGGCATCTTCAGGTTGTCTTCACAAACGCTGATCCTTTCCTGACAAATGAGATTCATGGTGTTGTCTTTAAATCTGCAAAGATTCATCTCCTTGAAAATGGATTTGGTGGAGGCATTGCTGTGGCCTCAATTCATAGGGGTCACCAAACGTCATGAGACGTTGAG